AAAAGGGGAGTCCGAAGAGTTATTTACGCATAGTAAATTTTTACAGGAAGGAGGAGCGCCCGGCGAAGCCGGGCGACACCCTACGAAGGAGGGAAGCCCTGCGTTAGCCGGGCGGCCCGACTGGTCAACTATACGTGAAGAAGGAACCACCTAACCTGATGAAAATAATCACCTATATCACCTGTATCCAACTTGTCCTTGCGAACTTTGGGGTGAGCCTATTTAGTTCCACGTCTAATTACTTCGCACCTTCCTCGCCCATTCACTCACTCGCCTGTGGGGTGGCCTCGCTTAATTGGTTGGCTGCTGACCTCTCTGCCACACAGCCATACTCAGGAGTAACAATATCGATTATATGATTAAGAAACTTCTAAAATATGAAAAATAAGGCAAAACAAAAAAATAAATATGCAAGACTTTAATAATGCAACACAGAAAGCTGTGGAGGCTAAAGTAATGATTGGAAAAATCATAGGATGGGGAAAAGGATTTATCACATCGTGTAAGCATTCATTCTCACGAGACGTCTGCAGGCGAACTAGTTAGCAGAGTGACCTTTCTTACTTTTTTTACACCCACACCCTATATCGCTTTCTTGGACACCGCCAGTAGGTCACTTATAGGTATTGACACCGCCAATAGGTCACTTATAGGTATTGACAGCCAGTAGGTCACTTATAGGTATTTAAACATGCGGATGAAAGCGTTATAAATCACCTGTGTAGTGTAATTGTCATCGCATCAGCACGGTGTCTCTTTGTAATACTCTGAGTTCGACTACAGAGCTTTCTCCGGCTTGAACTCAGGATTAGCTGCTACTGTTGCTCCTTCTTATTCCTACGGATCCCTGTATTTAGCTAGCCTACCACAATACACTGTACCACCTCTATTTCATGTATCTGCCCCCCTTCCACTCCTTGCAACTTCCCCTTCTGTTCCCTCGAGTGCTGTAGCTCCGAGTTCCTTTTATATTTATTCTCAGCACCCGAAAGCACCGTGAGCTCTGACCAAAACCCTTCGTTTTTCGAAATCCTAGGGGCAGCTACAGCTACTTCATCCGGAGCACACCTAAATGGCGAAAGGCAGGTAAGCAAGGGAAGAAAGCATCACGTTCTAATCTATCGGGACCAAGTGGACGGAGAATGGACCAAGTGAGCAGGAAACAGAGCAATTCTGCAGGAGAATGTCTAGATACGTCACCGATAATGCTTCATAGTTTCCTTATAATATAAAGATATCGAATTTTTACATTGTATTGTCCCAACTGCATATTATTTTAAAATGTGTAATAATAACAAATAATAATATAATAATATCAGTAATGATAATAATAAAGTTTCCAATCCATAAGATCAATATCAGTTCACTCAGACTGCCAGAAAGGTCACAGCCAACTAATTAAGCGAGGTCACCCCACAGGCGAGTGAGTGGATGCGCGAGAAAGGTGCGAAGTAATTGGAAGTGTGGAGCCATGGAACTAAATACCGACTCCCCGAACTTTGCCATTCACGCAGATTGACTTTGAGCCATCCATTCCGGTCATCTCCATTTTTGGCCAAGCATATTCACCTTAGGATCGGCCAACTTCAACTTAGGCCTTCCCGCCACTCGCTTGTGATCCAATGGGATGCAATTCGTCAGCCGGAGTGTCCATCGGGTATCTTTCAAACGTGCCACATGTCCGGCCCCTTCTAGTTTACGTTATACATTTGCTGGGCAACATCAGCAAGGCCACTTCGTCTTCACAACTCCGTGTTTGTGATATGTTCACGAAGTGACACTATGCAAATTCTACGTCCAGTTGATTTTATCACAGAAATTAGCTGTGATAAAATAAGAGGCTTGGAAATATCGGGGACCTCGAACCAGGGGAACGATGGCTTTGACGGATTCGGCACCGGATTCGGCTGCAGAGTGTTCCATAAATGTGGTGCGGCCAACCAAGCATCGAATTGACCATGTCGGTATTGGGATATGGCGACATTGAGGTGCCGGTAATCGTTGATGAATTCCGCGGCATCTGATGAGGACATTTTAGTGGTCAAAAGTATAAGGACCTCCTTTTCGCACCCTTGGACCGGGTCGAGCCGCATCCTTGGACTGAGTCGACCGTAGAGATTAATATTGTGGTCGACCATTTCCCTGTAGAAGGGATCATGTATATTTTTGCTGAAGGATCCAAGGATCCCTGCCTAAATTAGGAGTTGTAGGGCATGATGACTATAGACGATGGCTTCGTTCTCGATTCGTCCTTTAAATATAATCCTACTATATACAATTCGGTCAGGGTGTCTGTTGGTCTGTCGGTGTGTTTGTTTGTGTGTGTGTCTGGTTGTGTGTTTGACCGCAAACTCATAACTCTTGTTCCCGTGAACGTAGGGAGTTCATATTTGGTAGTAGTACGGGGGCAGGATGTGAACTCTTATACCGGGTGGCACACCGGATTTCACTGACAAGGCGTGAATTATATGGTTGAGCGGATATTCGCAACTCCTGTTCCCGTGGACCCAAAGAGAGAGTTCATATTTGGTAGGATTTTGGGTATTATCAGTGGAACTTGGGCATTTTAATAAACGATGTAGGATATGACGGGATCATGAGTACTCGGTGACAGTAACCGATGAAAACTAAGAGGAGAAGATAAGGGGCCTAATCGTAAGAGAACAGAGCCACCTACCATCAAAATCCTAACCCTTCGATATTTACGATGTAGCTTTGACTGTTCAGTACGTTTCATTCGATAATGCGGGATGGTAGAGAAGGGTGACAAAAGTGAGTGGTAAGGGCAGTGATGCAGACACATTAGCTGCACTACGATAGGCAGATCAGAATTAAATTAATCAGATAAAGTTAAATTCTTGCTGTTATATTACTACCGCTATCTGGCAACGTTTGTAACTCAATGTAAAATCCTCTTTGTTCGATGTCATTTGTGACAAAACTTAACCGACCACCAATATTCTGGAGTCCTCAGTAAATGATATCTTCGTAAAGAGTATGGTCCATTATGGCATCTGCTATTGGTGGTATCATCACCTCGAAACATCTGTGAGTATCGCCCATGGCTTTGGTTGCCTAACGATCAAGTCTTCAATGGGTATTTACTTTTGAGAAGGAGAGCAAATATCGAGACTTCCAGTCAAGTCAAGACATAAGCACCGACCTACACTGAAGACCAATTGCGATGCCCTGTGTCAAACTCCGTGAACAGAAAAATGTCATTTGTTTCAAAGAAGTAGAGAGTCAGCCGATTACTACAGCTTTGCCAAAGAAGGAGGGGAGCATGGCGTAAGATGGGTGAACCGACTTGTAGTTTAACATAAAGGGAATGTCGAAGGAATGCGCATTGCCCAGAGAAGGAGACCACGCATTGCGCGGGCATACGCTTTCGAGATCTCCATCGTAGGCAATCGGGGCGTTCAGGGTGATGAATCAAGGGTGTGACCTAAACGTGGTTCATAGTGGAGCTGCTGAAAGTGCTTGCGCAGCGAATAGAAGGCTCATGACGCCACGTGCTCGCTGAGCATCAACATGCGGAGTCAAATGGTGTATATCACAGGAATAGACATGACGGCACGGGTTAGGCGGCTTGTGATGGTAAGCAGGGACGGTTCAGGTATTTGCGATCCTCCTCTACTATTACCCTAACAAAAGAATTTACGAAGGTTTGGAAATACAGGAGCGCTCTGTCGATTTGAGGAATGACGAGGTGACCCATTTATGACCGAAGGTCGTCGTGCATTAACTTCATTTTGAGCACAGTTCACGATAATTCTGGGTAATCCAGATTATGTCGAAAAATGGAAGATAAGATAGAAAGTAGTGCGATGGATGCGAAGAAAGTGCTTGAATCGGTGTTCCCTGAGCGAAAAAGGCTTCGATTGGAAAATTGTTAAAAAGGGTGCCGGACCAGAACGAGACTAGAAAAGTGAAGAAGAATGGGGCGTTTGACGAGCTATACAATGCGTGTCATTGTGTACATGTGGGTCCTAATGCGAATAGCTGACTACAGTAAGCGAAAATGTTCTTTAAAATTCATTCACTCATAAGCATGAGTTAACAAAAAACCCTAGCAATAGCCGAACAGCCCACCTTTTCAGCTCCTTGAGGTAGAAAAGTAGAATGACGATCGTAGCAACAAAGAGAACAACAGAGAATAACATAAAAGGAGAAAAACGTCGCCACATCACTCGGCGATCAGCTGATTGTATGTCTGTGTGGGGGTCCTGGAGCGGGTGTTGTAATCTGTATGGCCTCGACACTCGTTTGACACATCATTGATCGAGAGGCGGGGCATCCGGGCGATCCGGTAACGGAGCTCCCACTATGCCCTTGCTGTTGAGCTTTGGGGCCCAACAGCAAGGGCACCGTGCCCTTCCTTCCTGTTACCCGTAGGGGCCACTCGGAGTTCCTATAGGGATAACTCAGAAAACCTTGTTATCGTGTCTGTGAACTGTGCCTTTTAACGAATTGAAGCGTTCGTTAAACGAATCATTTTATTACCTCCTAATCCTCGTTTTCATCATGGGCCATATGTATTGGGTACCGAATCGGGGTGGACAGTACTACTTTTAATCATCTCTCGTTATCGTTAAGAGCAATCACAGACCTCAAAATCCTCGCCAGACAACTGATTCGTGAAAGTATTCTACTACATATAATTCGCTAACTGAGGGTATGTTGGTTTGTTGGTGTGTGCATGGGTGTGTTTGACCGAAAATTCACAACTCCTGTCCTTCTAGACCTAAAGTGTTCACGTTTGAAGACACTAGTGGCAGGTTGGGAACAGGATGTAGGAGGCAAGTCAATCCAGTAAACCGTGAAAGGTACGTTAAAGGCAACGGCAACACCGGGAAGAGGCTTTCCAATGAATACGCTTGTCCCTCGCCACATCACAGATATAGCTGCTACTAATTGGTACCGAAGGGAAGCTGTCTGAATATGAAAGACCTGTAGACCAATCATGCACTTCTCGTGGAGCCCTTCTGCTTTTCTGACCACCTTGCTGTTCAGAAGGAGAAGGAATTGGAATCTAATGATAGCAGAATCTCTTTGTTCTTTTGCACTGCAATGAAAAGTCATTAGACCTAGCAATATTATGCCGGGAAACCCAGTACTAACTATCCCCAATCTTGATTTCTTTGCGTTACTACGGAAGCAAGAAGAGAAGAAGAGCAAGATCATTTATTATGTGGCAGACCACTTTCATGTGACAAACGTATCCGTGAAGTGGGCTAACGTTGCACTGGTAGATGTGGTCACAACCACGATAGTTCTAGCGTTTTCTTGGGAAAGGGCTGCTATGGGCGCTCTCACTAATGTTTTGCCTGAGCGTAAGGCGACCTGAACGGCTACTAGTAGGATCTGGCTGGCGCCTACGGGAATCGCATCCTTTTGATCAGAGGGTAAGAGCAAGCATGCATCGGTTAACCCGAAGGAACGTGCTCTGTGGCATGATGCTGGTAGGGACAGTCGGTACGTTCCATCACCAACCACTGCTTAGCCTACATAATGGCTGGCGGTGGCCAGCCGATGAACAAGTCACTGCTTTCATCCTCCCAGACGAGTCTGATACTAATTGACCGACCCGGAGGGATGGAAGGCTTGGTTGGCCTAGGATTCGAGATTTCAGCCGTTGACCGTCCGTGCGAAATAGTGCACCACTTGCCACTACACCACTTCCGCCCCTGCTACCACCAACTCTCGGCGAACTGCGTTGGATGAGGATGTTCTTACCGCTAGGCTTCCGATACCACTTCGTTCTTTCAGGGATCATGCGAGAATTTAACCTAAATGATGAGTAAGGCGAGCCAACTTTCTGCCGGTTTTTCCCTTGTGAACTATACAGGGTGTCCCAAAATTATGAGCGCCCAAATTCAAAAACTTCTAAGCTTGGAGTAATTTATCATATTCTCCTCACCCACTATTAATTAGTTGCATAAGAAGTTTCCTTGCACTATGCATGGTTACTGATATGGAACTTCCAATATCTTTTAGATGGAGGAGGCTCACTCAATGCCACTTACAATCAATGACACGCGCGAAGTGGAAGGACATTATGAAATTCCTTGGGATTTTTACAGTAACCGTATAAGTAGCTACTGAGGTGAGAGGACATTATGAGACTCCTTGGAATTTTCATAATAACTGTATAAGAAGCTATAAACGGTATAGAAAAGAAGATTGATTCGGAGACAAACCAGGAAAAGGTAGAAAGGCAAACGTTTCTAAAGATGAGACCATTAAAATGGCCCGCCCGTCAGTGATCCTGGGTGACCCTTCGAAAGAAGGTCAACGAGCACGACTTATCGGAGTTATTGCGATGAAGGAATGTCAAGCTTCATTGCCATTCCCATCGCAGGCAGAAATTTCACTTCATTTCCGGTTTCAACAGACAGTGTAGGACGAAAAAAATGCAGAAGACTGTTGACTCGCTTGAGTTGAGACATGCATCCCTGCGTGGTTTTCTCTAGCTAAAAATTTTCCGCAAAAACCATTCCCCAAAGAATAAAACGATCGTGTTACGTATAGAATCATCGAACGTGCAATCTCTCTCGAAAAAAGCTACTATAAGAAAAGCAGAATGATGTTTTTTGAGGGTTTCACTGGCAAGAGTAAGGCGCTCGTGGTTTCGTCGTGTGCCGGCGTGAACATCGAGAAAGACCTGTGCTCAAAAAGCATGCTGAAGGTCGTAATGGAGGACTGTTACAACTCCATTTCCTGAAACAGCTCGTAGTCTTTCCAGCAGGATGGCACTCCAGCCCGACTTCATTGGTAAACAGGGTTAGCCATCTTGCATTTCAAATCTTGAATCACTTGACTCCTCCGTATGGTCCCTGATTAGAAGAGGACCTGTCGGGTTTCCAGTCCCATATTTTGAAATGTGACTGCAGCATGTTGGAGCACATGATGTACGCAAATGTGTATATAGATTCCATTGTTATTCTCAGCTGAGAAGCTTTAAGTACATAGCCATGAATTGGCGCCCATAATTTTGGGACACCCTGTATATGTTCAGTTCCATTAAGTAGTTCAAAACAGGTGTCCATCTCAGTTTGAGTGGAGCACACAATAAAACAGTTGTCGATATACCGGCAGTAAATTATTGGCTTTCCTTACAACTTTCGACATGAACCAT